TTCAGCCGTTTCACTAAAGAGAACTAGAGAAGCCTTTTAACAATTAAGGGTTTTTTTTTTTTTTTTTTTTTTTTTTTTTTTAACAACAATAAACCATTAAAATCTATATCTATATTTTCTTCAAAAATAATTTATTTATACTTAGGTCGTGTTCACTTCAGCTTAATTTCAGTTCAGCTCCAATCAGTTCATTTCAATTCCTATAATCTTCTCTAATAAAATACTCGCTCCGTCCCCTTTTGATAGTCCCTTATGAGCATTTTTCACGGGAATTAATAAACACACATAAGAATAGTTAAAGTACATTGAAAAAGTAAATTGACATTGGGTATGCAAAAAAGTAGAGAGAGAAAGGAATAAAAGTACATGGGAAAACAAAATTTACATGGGAAATATAACTTTGCACAAGTATTGTTGCAAATTGGAGGGAATTTTAATAAAAAATTAATATTAATGGTTGTTGGAAAAAGCAAATGGGGTGAACATTTTGGGACTAAATTTTTCCCATAAGGGACTATCAAAAGGGGACGAAGAGAGTATTCATTTCAGCTCTATTCAGTTCAGCTTCAATCAGTTCATTTTAGTTCAGCTCAATTTAGTAAATGTGAACAGACCATTAGTATTTAAAAACACAAACCATCATCCCCATCATGTCACATGTAAACCTTATTTTTCATCAATGTCACATGTCACCTCCATTCATTAATTAATGAAAAATTTGTCAAAAATAAGCCAACCTATTATGAAAAGAAGAGTTTTAGAGGGTTTAGCGAAATGGGGAAGGAAATGGGAGGGAAGAGTTGAAGGGAGGAAGGTTTCACTAAAAAGAAGCCTTTTTAAAAAAATTAAAAATTAAAATTAGGATTTTTGAAAATATCCACCTACTATTATGAGAACCGATCCCAGATCTTTGCAATCGGGAAAAAAAGCTTTAACCACTTGAGCTATCCTTCACTCTCTTTTCGTTTTAGTAATAACCACCTATAATAATAATAATAATAATTATTATTATTATTTAATTTTACCACCAACTATTTACAAGAACATTAAATCTTTCCTATGACCAATTTGACTCAGATTGCCATATGGCGTCATTGTGTACCTGATCAAGTTGAGCCCGGTCCGCTGGCCCAGCCCAATTTAGGGCGGGGTTTGGGCTTTTTTCGGCCCGAATAGAAAAATTTTAAAAATTGGGCGAGCTTGGGAAATCTCTATTATATTTTAGGAAAATTTGTAATTATTAATCCCAACTTTGGGCGATTTACTTTCATTAATCCCAACTATTGATTATTTTTAAATAATCCCAACTTTAGGGGGCGTCTTCTTTTATCAGGCCAAAACCGGTGAACGAAAGTCAAATGGACACGTGCCAACACTTAATTTGTCTAAAAAAAAAATCAAAGTTTTACAAAATAAAGTAAAAAAAAAAAATCCTCCCTTAGCACCACCACCTTCATCCCACACACCCCTACCACCTCCTCCCTAGCAGCCACCGAAAACCACCATCTCCCTCCCAAATCCCACCGAAAACCACCGAAACCTAGCTGAAAACCACCGAACCCCACCGAAAACCATCGAACCCTAGCTGAAAACCACCGAACCCCACCGAAAACCATCGAACCCCTTCCTATTCCCCCACGCAACCACCGAAACCCCAAAACCCAGCCATCGAAACCCTGAGAAAACGAAAAACAGAGGGATGGGGAGGGGGAATCAGCGGCGAAAGGGGAGGGGGAATCTGCGGCGAAATGGGGTCGAGGTTTGCGCGAGATGGTTGTTTTAGAGGGGGAATCCGCGGCTGGTGGTTTTGGGCTTGTTTTCTGCGACGGTGGGTGGCGCTGCGAGTGGTTTTGGGGGAAGGGAGTGAGGTTGCGGGTGGTTTCGGGGGAAATTCGATGGTTTTCGGTGGGGTTGGGGAAGGAGGTGATGGCTTCCGGTGGGTGCTAGGGTGGGAGGCGGTGGGGCTGCGGTGGGATGATGGTGGCTGGGTTGGGTTTTTTTATTTTTAGTTTTTATTTTTATTTTTAATTTTTTTTGAGTAATGAGATTGCGACATGTGGCTTTTAAGAAAAAAAAATAAAAAAGTTACCTTTTAAACAGGTCACCGGTCATTTGACCTAATAAAAGAAAATTCCCCCAAAGTTAGGATTATTTAAAAATAAAATAGTTGGGATTAATGAAAGTAAATCGCCCAAAGTTGGGATTAATAATTACAAATTTTCCTATATTGTATACATTTTTAGTTAATTTTTTTGGCCCAGCCCGAAAAGCCTGCATGGCCCGGGTAATTTGGGCATATATATTTCGGCCCGAAGCTTGGCCCGACTTGGCCCGGACCAAGGAATGGACTTTTTTCGGTTTCTTAATTACAAATTCAAATTATACAAATAAAACACATAATTTATGAAATTGGGGCTGATTATATGATAATGTTCCTCATTTTGGGGTTTTTAATGAAACTGGGGATTTGTTATTTAGTGATTAATTTACGAAATTGGGACTAACTTGCATCAATTTCATGAATTATGTTTTCAATTAGTACCAAAATTGCCATTATTGTGTAAAAATGATGCTTAATTATTGTTATGAATACTTAGGGGTTCATATGTACTTTGGGTTTTTCTGAAATTCAATCGTTTTTCTAAATTATGATTTATAACTCTAAATTATGTAAATAACGCTTATTTCAGAAATTTATATCAATTTAAAAAATTCTCCAAATTTGAAAAACCCTAAAAGAAGAACAACAAATTATAATATATAAATGTTTAGTAACTTGATTATCATCGTGTGAGCTTAAATTATGTTAAATAGACTACCAAATGTTTTTCCCTAACCCAATTTTAATGTCTTATGAAAAAAAAACCTTAATCAAGCATGAGAATCGAGGCCTCGAGGGAGAAGAACACCACAATGACGTCATCTATTAGGGAGTGGACAATTTTGTAAGAAACTATAATATTTTTAAAAATAGTAGGTGGGAAAATTTAATAAAAATAATTGTAGGTGGTTATTGCAAAAATGAGATGAATAGTTGGTGGTTATTTTTTTTAAAAAAAACATAAAATTATAAACAACTAAAATTGATACTTCATAGTTGACTATTGGTTGTTTGGAGTTTGACCATCTATACTAATTTTCAAAAAATTATTTGCAGTTTGACCATCTATACTAATTCCTTTTGTCCTTAAATACATTTGACTTTTCACTGTTTTCAATACATGTCTTAAAACGTCTAAATCTATTCTCATAAACATAAAAATTATAAAACTTAATATTAATAAAATATAAAATGTGATAAATCTAACAAGATCTCACATTAACATATACTCCCTCCGTGTTTTAATAAGTGTTACAGTTTGACCGGCACATAGTTTTAGGTAATTTAATTGACTTAAATAAAATAAGATCGAGGTAAGTGGGGTACTTAAAGTATTAACAAATTGTAAAAGAAAGATGATGGGGTTAATAGTTTATTGGAAAGTAATGAATGTGAGAGGAGAGATATAATAATAAATAAATGAATTAAAAGTAAAAGTGGGTTTGAGTAGGGACCATGGGAGGAGAGATATAAATTTATGTTTGAGATGAGAGAAGATGGATGGAGGAGAAAGAATAATTCTCAAAGTCTTTATGTTTTATTTTAACCCATAGAACGAACTCAACAAGAGGACAACAGGCCGAGGCTCAATCCTTTTTGATCGATTTAACCAAAAAAAATAATGTCAGGGGCCTTTTGACTTGATTGGCAAGACACGTGGGCTGGGCTATGCATGAATTTCGTTTTTAAAAGACCAATATGAGTTCGGCTGGGCTATGCATGGATTTTTTTTAAGACCTTTTATTTCCTTAAACTCATACGCATAAAATTTTCTTTACAAAAATTGTATCACTTAAGATCAATAAATTTAAATTTTGTTGGCAAAAATATTATATAAGATCAATTATTTTTATTCTAATATACAAACTGTAATATTTTTATTATATATATAATATTTGAATTTTATATGTAAGATTTATAGGAAATAAAAGGTCTTAATAAAATTTGTGAGCTAATTGCTTTATTTAGAATAGCGGGAAAGGGCGGGAAATTTTTTAATGATAAGGCAACACGTGGAGCTATTGTTTTAATTAGGTGCTCTATGTTTAATTAAAAAAATTCTAAAATTGTTGTGAACAAATTTTTACCAAATATAGTTATTTTCTTCTTATTTCATGTCTTTACAGAAATTTAAATATTAAATATCACGTAAAAGAGTTGTCGAGTACTTTAGTCAAATGAGTAATTTCAAATTATGTAGAATGACAGATTTTTAAAATGGTCGGTAATTAGCGACCAATTATCATCTTAACAGTCGGTAATTAGCGACCGTTTTTAAAATCATTCGCTAATGTTTCATTTTACTGACTGATTTGACGCCCGTCGATAATATTGATTGCTAAAAACGTGTTTTCTTGTAGTGGCCTTTGATCGTATGGGTAACTTTAAATTTTCAAAGACAAAATAGATGTATCTTTTTTATTTCTTACTATTAATCAAAGAAGTATTTATAAATCATGTATAGGCTTTTTTTTTTCTTCCTAATTTTTTAATTGTTCTTGTCAAGTATATGAAGATTACATATTCTTAAAAAAAGATTCTCAAAAATTGTGTTTTTTTAAGTAATTATATGTTGCCAATACACATACCTATAGTAGTTGCATATTTATCTATAAAATGTAAAGATCTTTACTTACTTTATAAAGTTAACTATGACAATTATTATTGATTTATTGTATATAATAATTTCCTAAAAAATAAAGTCTTATAAAAGGATTTTTTTTTTTTAAAAAAAAAAAAAAAAAACTAAAGACACAAACCTGTGTCATTTCTAGTGTGTCTTTTAGTATATAGTTATTGATTGATAGATTATTATCGTGCATAATATCTGAAGTGTGTGATTTTAGGACAAGTATTACCCATATAGATACAATGGGACAAAAAAATTAGAGACAAAAGGAGTAATTGGACATATTATTAAAAAAAAAAAATAGTGCTGCAAAATAACTTAAGGACCTAGAAAATATTGCATTAAGATATATATATACTTATAGGGGAGGGATCCGGTAAGAACCCCTCCTTATATAAGAACCCTAGTTATATAAGAACCAATCTCAGCCGTAGGATTAAGGTAATTTAGACGGTTAAGATTAAAACACGTATTTTTCCTCATACCCCCTACGGCCCTACCACCCGATCAAAATTTACTCTCTCCTCTAACTTTCTCTCTCTTCGTGCTCATCTCATTCTCTTTTGCAAACCCCCAAAAATCTCCATAGAAATTGCAATTTGAAGGATTTTCGACTCAGGTATGTTTTTTTTTCGATTTTGTTCAAATTTCCATGAACTTAGCATGTTGTTCAAGTAGATTTTGCGATTTTTTGGTTTGCTTTTTGCGATTTTATGTTTTCCGATTTTTTGATTTGATTTTGCGTTTTTTTTTTTCGATTTTGTTCAAATTTCCATGAACTTAGCATGTTGTTCAAGTACATTTTGCGATTTATTGTTTTGATTTTTGCGATTTTATGTTTTCCGACTATTTGATTTGATTTTGCGATTTCGTGATTTGATATTTGCGTTTTTATGTTTTTTTAGTTCGATTTTTCGATGATTTTTTCGATTTTAATGGTTTTTCTGTTTTCGATTTTTATGGTTTTTTTTATTTGTTTTTGATATTTCGTGAGTTGATATTTGCGTTTTTTTTAAAATGTCTGGTAAATGCTCGATTTCGTTAGTAAGCGAAATTATAGCTATGAATATGAATGTCCAGTATTTCTTAAAATCACTGTTTTTTTTCTTGTTGATGGATATGTATCTGGTATTTGTTGTTGATGGATATGTGTGATAACACTCTTCCGTCAATGTTATTTAATGGCTTGAAATCGACTTTGAGTTTGATGAGTAGTGAGTCTGAGTCATCTTTTGGATTACCAATGGACACAATACGAGTGACCGGGATTGCTGTACATGTTGCCTTGATTTGGTGGCTATTGTTGTCATTGAGAGGAGAAGCCATGTTTGTATGAAGATTTTGTTGCATATGGTGGTATGGATGGTGGCTATTGTTGTCATATGGTGGTATGAAGATTAATGAGCAAGCATAGCTTGAACAACTTGGCATTACTTATTCTGCTTGCATCAATTAGTCATGTCTAAAAACAAATCTGGCTTATTCTCTATGTTCTATTTTTTCTTATTTTTCTGGATCTATAGTTCGAATTTAGTGTTCGATTTTTGCTGATTTTTTCGATAGCGGCTAGCCTGGCTAACCTAAAAGAACAATGCATATAGTACTTCGTAGAGTAAATAAAAACTGTAAAAGTATAAAACCCTCTCCCACTACACCAAAAATGTGGGCTCTGACCCTCTAAGTCCTTACAGTACTTAGTATTACATAATCTATTAATTTAGTAGGATTTGGTTTTTAGCTATAAAATGGACAAAATAACAGAGAAGCCTGAGAAGATGAAATTACATTTACATGGGATTTGATTTAATAATGTAAAACATTTGTCAGATGTCAGACTGAAGATTAATTAGTTCTGAAAGGTTTTGCAGAACAATCAGATATAGTGTACAATATAAAATTCTGTCATGCCCAATTCACAAACTTTTTTTCAAAATTGGTGATGTTGGTGCGATTGCCCCTGTTTGTAGGGGTTGTAGTGTGGTGGTTGATTTATGCAGCAGCAGCTAATTGGTTAGGGGTTGTTGGTAGTGAACTTGTGATTGCAGGGCTGAAAATAAACTTTAGAACATAGGTAGAAAAATTTGGAACATAGGAAAAAATTATAACATAGGTTGAAATAATTTAGAACATGGGCTGAAAATAAACTCAATCAAACCTTATCATGTTTCTGTTTCATTTGTCTTTTAAATTTCTAGTTTACTCATTCTATTTTGGGTTTTTCACTCTCCAGCATGTTCTAAACTCTTTTTTAGCATGTTCTAAACTATTTTTCAGCATATTTTAAATTATTCCTATGTTCAAAAATATAATAATAATGTTGGAATGTTACTAATGTTTTTTATTTCTTAAAATTGCAGCAAAATGCAAGGCCAAAATGAAGCAAAATCAGAAGGAGGAGTTACTAATATACAAGAAGAAGAAATTACTTATGTAAGAAAAAGGTAACTAAACTAATGTTCTAAACTTTACCTATTATGTTTTAAATTTTGTTCTAAAGTTTTCCAATATGTTCTAAAGTTTTCCCTTAAGTTCTAAAGATTTGTATTATGTTCTAAAGTTTTCCATTATGTTCTAAAGTTTTCCATTATGTTCTAAAATTTTCTCTTATGTTCTGAAGATTTGTATTATGTTCTAATATGTATCCATTATAGTTTATGTTCATCTTATCCCTTTATATTTGCACTCTATTTAATGTTAGTTGTATTCTAATTATTTTTAATTGTTTTTAAAGGAAAGTTGAAAACGTTGAAGCGGAAGTAATTGATAGATCGGAATTTGAGAAGCATATTGAAAGTAAAAGTGTTGCTATAAGACATAGAAAACTTCCAACAAGGCTTCAACCACCTCGAAAATTGCAAAAAAAGGAAGGAAGAGAAAAAGATCAAGAAGAAGGAAAAGATCAAAAAGAAGAAGAGGGTAATAATGTAGAGGATGATGACAAGAATAATGATAGTAAAGATGATGGTGAGGATGATAATAAGGGTGATGTAAAGATGAAAGAGAAAGATGAAAAAGAGGAGATGGAAGATGATAGTGAGGAGGAACAAAAAATCAATAAAAAAAATCAAACTCAGGTAATAATACTCTTTAATCTTTACAATCTTTATTTTTATGTTCTAAAGTGCACGCTTATGTTCTAATTTTGCTTATCTATGTTCTAACTATGTTTATCTATTCATGGTGAGGATGTGAAGAAGAAGAAAAGAAAGATTGAAAAAGAAGAAGATGGTGAGGATGTCCAAGTAGTAGAAGCTAATGAGCAAGATAAACTAGTTAAGAGGCAACCTTATCAAAGAGTACCTCCTACTCAATTCATGAAGGATGTGTTGATAAATCTTTCGGAAAAACAAAAGCAAGCTATTCGGAACATTGGTTTTGGAGGCTTTTTGGAATTGGATTTACCAATCCATATTAATTCTACGTAAGTAGTAGAATGTTATGTTCTAAAATCATATTCTAAAATCATAAGTATTATCAATGTTATGTTCAAAATTATGATTTGTCATGTTTGAATTGCTATACACTAATGTTCTAAATTATAAGATTATGTTCTAAATTAGTTATGCTCTAAATTTTGTGCATATGTTCTAAATAATATGATTATGTTCGAAATTAGCTATGTTCTAAATTATGTGCATATGTTCTAAATTGTATGATTATGTTCTACATTATGTGCATATGTTCTAAATAATATGATTATGTTGTAAATTACTTATGTTTTAAAGTTACTTCTTGTATTCTAAAATTATGAACTCTCATGTTTGAATTGCTATACACTAATGTTCTAAATTAATTTTTTGTTATGTTCTAATGTATGTTTATTATGTTCTAAAATAGACTTTTTTTATTATATAATGTTCTAAATTATGTTCAAAAGTTTAAATATTATACTAAATGTTTTAATCTTCTATGTTCTAAAGATTGACTATTATATTCTAAATATAGCTGTATTGTGCTTTAAATCTTACATTTTTCATTATAATTCTAGGTTGACAGAAAACTTGGTTACGAATTTTGACACGGAGAGATGTTGTTTGATGTTACCAAAGAGAAAACAAGAAATCTTTTTGGAGGCAATTGATGTTCATTTGGCTTATGGGTTGCCATTGGGAGGCAAAAGGATTGAGCAACCAAATGATGAGTCAAATCTGAAATGGAGCAAGTTTCTAAAAGCTTGGAGAAGCAAGTTTGGCCTCAAAAAAGTATGATGATATAATGTGGTTATGTTTTAAATTTTATGTTCTAAAGTATGAATTTTATGTTATAAATTGTATGTTTTAAAGTGCTTTGCTTATGTTCTAAAGTGTTTTTTGCTTTAAAATAGATCTATTATCTCCATAGGTTTTAATTTATATGTTTTTTTTTACCTCTAAAAGGGAAGTCCAACCAACAAGAGATTGATTGACAGAATTCAAGAATTGAAGAAGGAAAAATCAGTTTCTGATGAATTTCTTTGGAACTTTGTGGTATGTGTTGTCAATTGTTGCATTCGATCAACAAACAACCCACAACTATACATTAAATTCTTGTATAGTTGTATGGATGTAAAGAAAATTGCTGAATTGGATTGGTGCACATTTGTGATTGAGCACTTGAAAGATTCTGTAAGTGTATGGAAGAAGGGAAATTCTTACTTTACAGGTCCTTTACCTTTTCTAATGGTAAGTTTTAAATTCTTACCATTATGTATATATATTATTCTTGTTATGTTGAAAATGTGTGAAAAATATTCTAATTAATTCTTAACATGTACTAAATAGGTATTCTATTTTGATCGTCTACAAAGAGGAGGGTTAGAAAAACCAAGAAAATGTCCACTAATTTCGGTGTGGACAAAGGAAAGGATTCAAGTGAGATATAAGTTTGAAAAAGATCATGGATTTGGATATGGAAAACTCTTGGAAAGAATGGAATCAATTGTGGTATGATATTTGTATATGTTTATGTTTAAACACTACACTTTATGTTGTTGTTTTCTAAATTTTATAATTTATATACTAGAAGGCACCAAAAGGAAAAAAGAAACAACCAAAACAAAAGGAAAAAGAGAAGAGAATGGAAAAATCATCAATAGGTTCTAGTTCTACAACTTCTCGAAATGACATGATGGTATGATTTAGTTTATATTGTAAATTATATTTTATGCTCCATTTAATCCTTTTCTGTTAAATTATCCATGTTATGTCCTTTATGTTCTAAAATATTTTTGTGTTCTAATGAAGGGCTTTTTGAGCAAATTTGGAGATTTGGCAAAAACACTTGCCTCGAATGTTAAAGAGATGTATGGCATGTTAGAACAAGCAAAAGATCTTTTTGTTGAGGAAGAAACAACAGGAAAAATGCAACATCTCATAGACAACATATGGTGCAAGTACATAACAAAGGTATTATAATTATGTTCTAAAGTATTTTCTGGTTGTGTTCTAAAGTATTTTCAGCTTATGTTCTAAAGTATAATAAATTTATATAAATATTATGCATATTATGTTCTAAATTATAATTTCTTATTTTATAGACATTCGTGAACCAAGAAGAAAAGAAAAGCCCTTCTATACTCAGCCAAGATCAACATGTCTTCGATGAACCGGCATTTATTGAAGAATTGGATATGGTTATGGATAAGGCATGGAAGAAATTCGAGGAAACAAGGTCACCAAAGTCACCGACAGTTGGTAATTTCACATGTACATGCTTAATTTCCAAATTATACTTATGTTCTATATTAGATGCTTATGTTTTAAAGTACTTTTTTATGTTCTAAAACATGCGCTTAAATCACATGCTTATGTTCTAAATTATATGATTATGTTCTAAATTAGTTATGTTCTAAATTAGTTATGTACTAAATTAGTTATGTTCTAATTGTTAAGCAGATTTGAGATCAAAGGAAAAGGAAAAAGATAAGAACAAAGAAGAGAGAAATGAAGAGAATAAAGACAAAAACTTGTTGATTCCCTCACCAGTAGTTGGTAATTTCACATTATTTTCAAATTCATTTTTTATGTACTAATATTTACTAGATATGTTCTAATATTACTTCTTATGCTCTAAATTTTTTCTGGTTATGCTTTAAAGTTAATTCTTAATTTTTTATATTCTAACTATTTCTAGGTTGTCTCCTAATTGTATATATTTCTTATGTTCTAAAGTTACTTTTTATTTTCTAATTATTTTTTGCTATTTGCTATAATACTTAATTTTTATGGTGTAATTGCTATGAAGATTTGGGATCAAAAGAAGAAGAAAAAGAGCAGTACAGAAAAGAGAGAAACGAGGAGGAAAAAATTGAGAAGAAAGAGAAAAGGAATGAGGAGTCACCAAAAACCCCAATTCCTCCAAAAAAGAAGCAACCTTTTGATATAACTCCTCCAAGTTTCAAGTTATTGACCCCCTCACCAGCAGTTGGTAGTTTTACATTATTTTCAAACTTTTTTCTTTTGAAATAATATTACTAGATTTGTTTTAAAATTACTTCTTATGTTATAAATTTTTTCTGTTATGTTCTAAAGTTATTTCTGATGTTCTAAATTTTTTCTAAATCAGATGCTTATGTTTTAAACTACTTTCTTATGTTCTAAATTATGTGCATATGCTCTAAATTATATGATTATGTGCTAAATTATGTGCATATGCTCTAATAATATGATTATGTTCTAAATTATGTGCATATGTTCTAAATAATATGATTATGTTCTAAATTAGTTATGCTCTAAATTATGTGCATATTTTCTAAATAATATGATTATGTTTGAAATTAGTTATGCTCTAAATTATGTGCATATGTTCTAAATTGTATGATTATGTTCTAAATTATGTGCATATGTTCTAAATAATATAATTATGTTGTAAATTAGTTATGTTCTAAAGTTACTTCTTGTGTTCTAAATTTTTCTGGTTATATTCTAGTTATTTCTAATGTTCTAAATTTTTTCCAACTATTTCTATGTTGTGTCCTTATTGTTTCTACTTATGGTTTGATGTCCCAGAAAATCAAGAAGATAATGAAGCAGAACTCACTTACGAAGAAGTGACAGCAAATGTTCTAAATTGTGCTTTTCTAAATCCAGATCATCCACCTACATTGGATGAAGAGGAGAAGCAAGAAGAGGAAAAAGAGGAGAAGAAAGAAGAGGAAAAAGAGGAGAAGAAAGAAGAGGAAAAAGAGGAGAAGAAAGAAGAAAAGGAGAAGAAGAAAGAAGAGGAAAAAGAAGAGAAGCAAGAGGAGAAGAAAGAAGAAAAGGGGAAGAAGAAAGAGGAGGAAAAAAAGGAGATCCAAGAGGAGAAGAGAGAAGAAAAGGGGAAGAAGAAAAAGGAGGAAAAAGAGGAGATCCAAGAGGAGAAGAGAGAAGAAAAGGGGAAGAAGAAAAAGGAGGAAAAAGAGGAGAATCAAGAGGAGAAGAAAGAAAATGAAGGAAGCAAGAATGAAGAGAAGAACAAAGAAGAAAAAAATGAGAACAAGAAAGGGTAATCATTTTGTAAACTTTAAAACAAATGTTGGTTATGGTTTAGTTAAATTTTAATTTAGAACTTGGTAATAATAAATTTTGGTTTGATTTGGTTATGGTTTTTGTTATCAATAAATTTTCGTTTGATTTAGTTATGGTTTTTGTTATCTATGTGATATTTTTTAATTGAATTAAGTAGGAAACAAGGAGAAGAAAAAGGAGAAGAAAAGACACGGAAAAAAAGAGGAAAGGATAAGCTTCCAATGTACTTGCGTTCACCTTTCATGGTTGAACATGAAAAACTTTTCAAGAATGTGGACAATAGAAAGGTAGCTGAGTATGCGTTTGCTCAAGGAGATAATAAGTAAGACTTTAAAACTTTAAAATTATATGCTTATGTTCTAAGCTATATGCTTATATTCTAAGCTATATGCTTATGATCTAAGCTATAAATTATGTTCTAAACTTCATTCTTATGTTCTAAACTGCGTGTTCTAAGCTACGAGATTATGTTATAAAGTACATGTGTAAAACTATATGCTTATGTTCTAAAATAGGTACTTATGTTCTAAACTATATTCTTATGTTTTAAATTATGTGTTTATGTTCTAAACTACATGCTTATGTTCTAAACTACATGCTTATGTTCTGATTTTATTGTTCTGATTTTAGGGAGCTTTTGTATGCTGAAAACATGGGGACAACGATTACGAGAGATGAGATTCATAGTCTCATAGAAGATAAGCACATGTTGAACAATGTTGTGGATGCTTATGTTTGCCTATTGAATTTTGAAAATAAAAGACGTGGTGTAGACAAGAAGAGTAGATTCTTTTTCAGTACTGAATGCTATGTATGTTTTCGAACTTAAAATTATAACTATGTTCTAAGAGTAGATTCTTTTTGTTTCTCATATAGATTATACTATGCACCTATGTTCTAATTACTTATGTTTTAATTTCTTTTTCTTTTTCAGCTCATACGTTGTACAGAAAAATACTTCAAATCAAATGAAAGGCAAGATGATAGAATGAAGGCTTTGTTTGATAGAATGCAACAAGAAATGACAACGACCGAAGTAACAAGCTTCAAAAGCATTCAATTGGTAATTTGGTATCTTATTATGTTGTACTTTTTTCTTATTATATGTTCTAATTATTGGTTTTGTTTATGTTCTAATTATTTTTATCTATGTTTTAAAGTATCTACTTATGTTCTAAACTACTTATTTATCTTCTAAACTACTTACTTATGTTCTAAACTACATGTTATAAAAATTATATGCTTGTGTTCTAATCTATATGCTTATGTTCTAAAATGCATGCTTATGTTCTAATTTTGCTTATCTATGTTCTAATTCTGTTTATCTATTAGGTTTTCTTCCCGGTCGTTTTACTAGATCACTACTATTTGCTGTGTGTCAACTTTGTGGAAGGAACATTTGATTTGATTGACAACAGATTTCTTCCACCAAATATTCCTTTTCACAATAAATATGGAAATTACCATAGATTAATGGTAAGACATCAAGTTTACATTTTTTTAATTATACTTTTGTTCTAACTTTTGCCTTATATGTTCTACAGTTTTTCTTTATGTTCTAAAGTTTACCTTATATGTTCTAAAGTTTATCCAATTTTTCAGTTGAATGCATTTGCTGATTTCGTTCACTCAATTGACTCAAATATAAAGAGTGACTTTGTATCCTCCTTCAAAACAAGAAACTTGAGTATGTCATGGAAGAGCAATAAGAACAAACATGATTGTGGAGTGTTCCTGTTGAAGCACATGGAAACATATGAAGGAGAATCTGTAAAACAATGGAATTCGGGACTAGAATTAGACAATGTAAGTTTAAAACATAAGATACATGTTTTAAATTAGTTTCGTTTATGGTTTTGGTGTTATGGTTTTAGTGTTGTGGTTTGGTTTGGTTATTGTTTAGATATATTATGGTTTATTATATTTATTTATACTTATATGCTAAATTATATTCATGTTCTAAATTATATGCTTATGTTCTAAAGTATTTCTGTTTATGTTCTAAAAGTTACTCTTTTTTTTTTTTTGCAGTTTGACCAAATGTTTATGTTTATGTTCTAAAAGTTACTCTTTTTTTTTTTTTTGCAGTTTGACCAAATGAAAAAATTAAGAGTGGAGTATTGTGGGAAGATAATAACAGCAGAAGTAAATGAAGAACAGAACAAAGTGATTAGGAGATCAAAAAAGTGGTCAAAGGAGAACAAAATGGATATATGATTGTTAAGATCTTAAGTTTATATTTGTAGAGAGATATTTGCAAAGAATATAACGGTAATTTTTTATGTTCTATGTATTTACCTGTTACAAGAAATATATTGTTGAATCATATTAAATGCTAAAATTTTAATATAAAATATATCATATAAACTTATATGCTAAATTATATTCATGTTCTAAATTATATGGGTATGTTCTAAAGTATTTTTGATTATGTTTTAATAATTATATGCTTATAAAGTTAGGATATTAGAATATATTATTATATATTAATTTTGACTTAAAACTTAAAGTGTAGAACATTAGAACATAAGAAAATTAAAAAAAAGTAACAAGAAATGACAACAGCCAAAGTAACAAGATTCCAAAGCATTCAATTGGTAACTTGATTCTAATTATATCTTATTATGTTGTACTTTTTTCTTATTACATGTCCAAATTATTGATTTTGCTAATCTTCTAATTATTTTTATCTATGTTCTAAAGTATTTGCTTATGTTCTAAACTGGCTGCTTCTAATCCATTACTTTTGCTTTATTTTTCCTTTTGAATACAATGCATACACTCTTTAGTGCATATCTAAGAAGGCATATGTAAATCAATGTTAAGAAACTTGAATAAATAAAAGTTGATTAAAGCAAGATTCAACTAAATGTTGTTTAATAAAGGTATCTAAAATGCTTGTACTATCATTACTCGTAGTTCAAATTGACTTAATAAAACAACTTATAATTACGAAAAGGGGGGAAGATGAAAAGACAGGAGATGTTATAAAACATTATAATCAACTTTAATTAACATAAAAATTGATAAGAAAAACACTAGTAGAGATACTCTGAATAATAATTGGACAAAAAAGAAATAAAAATATATTGTTTCTAAAAGTAAATAAATTGAGTTCTTATATTTTAAGAATTATATGAATAATATTTTTTTAATTATACTTTTGTTCTAACTTTTGCCTTATATGTTCTACAGTTTTTCTTTATGTTCTAAAGTTTACCTTATATGTTCTAAAGTTTATCCAATTTTTCAGTTGAATGCATTTGCTGATTTCGTTCACTCAATTGACTCAAATATAAAGAGTGACTTTGTATCCTCCTTCAAAACAAGAAACTTGAGTATGTCATGGAAGAGCAATAAGAACAAACATGATTGTGGAGTGTTCCTGTTGAAGCACATGGAAACATATGAAGGAGAATCTGTAAAACAATGGAATTCGGGACTAGAATTAGACAATGTAAGTTTAAAACATAAGATACATGTTTTAAATTAGTTTCGTTTATGGTTTTGGTGTTATGGTTTTAGTGTTGTGGTTTGGTTTGGTTATTGTTTAGATATATTATGGTTTATTATATTTATTTATACTTATATGCTAAATTATATTCATGTTCTAAATTATATGCTTATGTTCTAAAGTATTTCTGTTTATGTTCTAAAAGTTACTCTTTTTTTTTTTTTTGCAGTTTGACCAAATGTTTATGTTTATGTTCTAAAAGTTACTCTTTTTTTTTTTTTTTGCAGTTTGACCAAATGAAAAAATTAAGAGTGGAGTATTGTGGGAAGATAATAACAGCAGAAGTAAATGAAGAACGGAACAAAGTGATTAGGAGATCAAAAAAGTGGTCAAAGGAGAACAAAATGGATATATGATTGTTAAGATCTTAAGTTTATATTTGTAGAGAGATATTTGCAAAGAATATAACGGTAATTTTTTATGTTCTATGTATTTACCTGTTACAAGAAATATATTGTTGAATCATATTAAATGCTAAAATTTTAATATAAAATATATCATATAAACTTATATGCTAAATTATATTCATGTTCTAAATTATATGGGTATGTTCTAAAGTATTTTTGATTATGTTTTAATAATTATATGCTTATAAAGTTAGGATATTAGAATATATTATTATATATTAATTTTGACTTAAAACTTAAAGTGTAGAACATTAGAACATAAGAAAATTAAAAAAAAGTAACAAGAAATGACAACAGCCAAAGTAACAAGATTCCAAAGCATTCAATTGGTAACTTGATTCTAATTATATCTTATTATGTTGTACTTTTTTCTTATTACATGTCCAAATTATTGATTTTGCTAATCTTCTAATTATTTTTATCTATGTTCTAAAGTATTTGCTTATGTTCTAAACTGGCTGCTTCTAATCCATTACTTTTGCTTTATTTTTCCTTTTGAATACAATGCATACACTCTTTAGTGCATATCTAAGAAGGCATATGTAAATCAATGTTAAGAAACTTGAATAACTAAAAGTTGATTAAAGCAAGATTCAACTAAATGTTGTTTAATAAAGGTATCTAAAATGCTTGTACTATCATTACTCGTAGTTCAAATTGACTTAATAAAACAACTTATAATTACGAAAAGGGGGGAAGATGAAAAGACAGGAGATGTTATAAAACATTATAATCAACTTTAATTAACATAAAAATTGATAAGAAAAACACTAGTAGAGATACTCTGAATAATAATTGGACAAAAAAGAAATAAAAATATATTGTTTCTAAAAGTAAATAAATTGAGTTCTTATATTTTAAGAATTACATGAATAATATTTTACGTGCTAGTAAATGAGATATTGTTTCTAAATATATAACATCTCATGCAACTGGATTAATAGTATATTCACCAACCTGTAAAGAAAAAAAATAAAACAATATTAGAACATAAGCACATAATTTAGCATTAAAAAATGTTATAACATGCCATTTCTATTAGTTTAGAACACATGATATTATATAGAGTAAAAACTTTAGAACATTTAAAGAAACCTTTAAAACATATAAAGAAAACTTTAGAACATATAAAGAAAATATTTTGAACATAAAGAGAAAAGTTAAAATATAAAGGAAAACTTTAGAACAAAATGAATAACTTTATATTCTAAACATTAGAGCATATTAAATTACACTAAAACAGAAAGAATAAACATTAGAACATAGAGAAAACACTTTAGAACATAGAAAAGTAACTTTAGAACAAAGAGAAAACACTTTAGAACATATTGAATTACTTTAGAACATATATGAATAACTTTATGTTCTAAACTTGCTTAAAACATAATTACTTTAGAACAAAATAAATATAAGAAAATTAAAAATAAAGTTTACTTACAATATCACTTGACTTTTCCAGGGCAATTACGACTATCATGATAACCAAGCTACCCACATGCTCTACATAATCTCTTCTTCTTTTGACTTTGTTCAATAGACTTTTCTCTGTCACTCTTCATTCTTTTGTCACTATTTGGAACATGAACCTCATTTGGAACATGGACATCATTTGGAACATGGACATCATTTGGAACATTTACGTGATTTGGAACATGAACCTGATTTGGAACATGGACATCATTTGGAACATTGACCTGATTTGGAACATGAACCCCCGTGCCTTTGTTCTTCGAAATTTTAGGAGGTTTGATTAAAACATTAGAAGGTAGACTAGCTCCAATAAGCATTTCAATGTCTTTAACTTTGCTCGAAAGATTGTTGCTTCCATTTGTTTTCTTCTGTTCCAAATCTACCCTCATGGCTCGAAGTTTTTTGACAAGATCACTAAGATCATCTTCATTGTTTTGCACTAAACTCACACAAGCATGAATTTCAGACCACAAATCATTTAATAACATTTTCTTATCTACTGCATTAATACATTCCTCCAACACATTACCCTCTAAATCAAAAATGGGCTTCTTATAAGCCATTGTACACCATCTATTTAGAATGTAGGCCTTGGGAATTTTTTCTAACATCCTTGCCTTCCACACCCAAATCATATGCCTACAAGGCACACCATCACGTTCAAATTTTTTACAAAAACACTTGGTATCAAAGGTAGTTGGATCAAAAACAACATCAAAAGTCCTCCTTCTAGTTCCTTCCCTCAAATTGAAAATGTAAAGCTCATTGTCCTTCTTCATCTCCTCAACACCACAATTAAAACATCCAATTTCAAGCTCATATTGAAATTCATAGAAAATTGTTGTTGTAAACAATTCAGAAGCATCTTTCTCTAAAGGAATTGGAGTCTTACACTCCGGACGCTTATTCTTCGAATCATTATCCATTTTATTTTGAGTGTGCCTTTGAGCATCCAATGCACATTCAAACCTATAGAAAATAGAAATTAACTTTAAAACATAGAAGATAATTGTAGAACATAGAGTGAATTACATTAGAACATATAAATATACATGACATGTTTATTATGATCTAAATATTATTAAAACATAAAGAGAAAAAGAAAACATAAAAGAGAATTATAAAATAAATAGTAAAACTATAAAGCATAAAAAGAAAACTTTAGAGCATACAAGGAAAACTTTAGAACATAAAGAGTAACTTTAGAACATATATAGACAATTACTTATTACCTCATGTAGAACTCAATCAAAGTGAGATGGGGATTTGTGAACATAGTGAAAAAATTATTTTCACTTTCTGATCTAGATGTGGTTCTCATAATGCCACCCAAAAATAAATCTCTGAAATACGCTGGAATCCACATATCACGTATGTTGTACATGTATGCCAACCATTCATGATCGTTCAAATGGAATTCTGAAATAACTTTGTTCCACTTTTCTTCAAATTCTGCCGGCTCAATCTCTAAATGCCAAACACATGAACACAGTTTTTTCAAGAAATCAGTGTCTTGGGCAATCGCCCGACCTACTTTTTCAGGCACCTTTTTCATAATATGCCACATACAAAACCTATGTTCTGTAGTTTGAAAAACATTACGAACAGCAACTTTCATTGCAGGGTCTTGATCGGTAATCAAACACACAGGCTCGTTATTTCCCATTGCTTTAAGAAAAGTTTTGAAAACCCATTCAAAAGATGATATATCCTCATGAGCTACAAAAGAAGCCGCAAAAGTAACACATTTTTTATGATGATCAACTCCAGTAAATGGACCAAAGATCATATTATATCTGTAACATACACAAATTATTTATGCAGAAAATAGAGGTAAACTTTAGAACATAGAGGTAAATTGTAGAACATAGAGGTATACTTTAGAACATAGAGGTATACTTTAGAACATTAAGGATAAACTTTAGAGGATAGTAATTTACTTTAATTATTAAACTTGGCAGTAATATAGTTGTTTTAAAACATAATGAATTACTCTAAAACATAAACACTAAACTAAAAATATACAGTAAAGCTTTAAAAACTTATAAGTAAACTTTAGAACATATAGACATAATGTTTAGAACATGATGGATATTAGTTTAGAACACAAAGAATAAAGTGTAAAACACAAAAGCATAATGTTTAAAGCATAAAAGCATGATGGATATATTTTAAAGCATAAGGTAGAACATTAGCAATATATGTTTAGAACATAAGGCATACATAGTTTAGAACATAAAGAATATTTGTTTAGAACATCAAAACATGATGGATATTTGTTTAGGAACACAAGGCATGATATTTAGAATATAAGAACATATGTTTAAAAAATTAATATGTAAAAGTAAAATATTAATTACATTATGAAAGAAATTTATATTTAAAACATCACCTGTTTGTTTTGAATGTGGTATCAAAAGAAACCATATCACCAAAAAGTGCATAATTTTTTCGACAGATTGGATCAGCCCATAAAGCTCTACAAAGTCTATCTTCTTCATCAACATCATAGGAAAAAAAAAATGCACTCCAGAGCACTTTCTTATTTTGAAAATTATCCACAAACATTTGGGCATCTGATCCATCAATATAAGCCTTCAAATCTCTATAAAAATTTTTGAAATCTTGTTTAGATGCACCAACATTATCATGTGATCCAGCTAATTCTTTCATCATAGTATAAGACCTCACAGGACCAACATTTACCTGTTAGAAAAAAAAAATATTACTAAGATTAAGAATTAACTTTAGAACATAGTAAATCAAAACAAAAAAAAAACATTATTTAGTACATAAAAATAAATCACCTTTGAATTATCAACAATCAACTTTTTATGCATAATATGCATTTTTCTATTATCCTTCTGAAATTTTGCACAACTTGGAGTATATAAAGGATGATTATGTTCTTCTTTGAAATGAGTTACAACATACTTTCCAGCATCATATCTCATACATATGTGAGCATTGCATCCTACACGAGTGACTAAACGTTTCCTAGTAATATGAACTTTTCCTTCTTCATAAACTGTTTGTTGAGCAATAGGTTTTCTTATTGCCCTAAAACCTTCCTTATTGCAAACTCCATATTGAAAAGCAATTATATCTTTGTTATTCTTCTTCCTTTTAGTAGTAGATTTCCTAGAAGTAAACCCAGCGGCATTTGCATATGCTTTATAAAAACTAAGACCCTCTTCAGGATCTTTAAATATCATACCCAAACTGGGTTTTAACTCCTTGGGAACATTTGGAATCCATTCCTTAGTGGTACCACCAGGGCTAAATGATCCAACAACCTCTGGAGTACGATAAATATCACCAACTGCATTAGAACATGAAAGTAAACATTAGAACATACAATGAAAGTCATAGAATATGAAGAAAACATTAGCACATAATAAAAAACTTTATAATATAAAGAGAAAGATACATAGAAAACTTTAGAACATACAGAGAAAACTTTAGAACATCAAGGATAACCTTTAGAACATAGTAAATTAGGGACATACTTATAACATATTGCTTTAGAACATAGTGAATTACTTTATAACATACATAATAAAATTTAGAATAAAGTAAAAAAATTAAACTAAAAGGTTAACTTTAGAACATACAATGAAAGTAAACATTAGAACATAAAAAGTAAAATTTAAAACTAGAAGGTAAACTTTAGAACATAGAATGAAAGTTTTAGAATATTATGATAAAGTAGGATTCCCTACTCCCTATGTCAGATTGGTGGGGCCATGGTTTGGTGATTCCAGTGGCAGTGACATGCATCAACTATCCCTATGTCAGATTGCTAGGATAAAGTAGCATTCCCAACTCCCAAGCCCCCAATGCCCAGCTCCAAGACGAGCCTTGAGGTTGTTGTGGCATTATCCAATAATGATCGATATTGTTTACCCACAGTTTACTTTGAATCATTACAAATTATTTAAAATGGATTAGATATTTTTTATTTATCAAATTAATTAACTTCCTCAATAATGATCAATATTGTTTACCCACACGTACTACTTTTTATAATCCTTCATCAACCACTCTTTCATACTCCGATGTATTCTGCATTCTAAAAGGAGTTCAATAGGCAACGGAACATGGCATTTGCACTTATCATTCGGATGGGAACATATAGAGAAAACTTTAGAACATTACCGATAAACTTTAGAACATAGTAAAGAAACTTTAGAACATGTAAGTAAATTGAAATTAAAACATTAAAAACAATAAAATTACCTGAATGAGTAACACAAGAAGAAGGATAATTAGGTTGAACACCATCTAAATCCATCAATATGCAAAAACCTATTTAAAAAAACACATATTGTAGCAAAAAAGCAACTAGAAATTAAAATCCATTAAAAAACAAAAATATGGAAAAAAAAACTCAAGCAAAGGAAAAAACAGAACAATCTGGAAATGAAAAATCACAAAAAAAACAGAAAATTAATGAAAAAAAACTGAAGAAAATTCGCAAAAAAAAAAAATAGATAAAATCGAAAAAAAACAAAAAATAATTGCTCGAAAGTAGGAAAAAAAAAAACAAAAAAACATATAACATTGAAAAAATCTGAAAATGAAAAATCGAAGAAGAAAGAGAAAACTAGAAAATGAAATTGATGAAATTAATGAAAAAAACTCAAGAAAATTCGCAAAAAAAAAAAAAAAAAGATAAAATCGACATAAACTTACATTAATCTCAATAGTAAAAAAAATGAATGATGAAATCGCAAAAAGAAAAAAAAAACAGATTTTTGCTGATTTTCGAATTGATGAATTGCATATCCACAAATAATATGAAAAATAAAATTTCACACAAATTCGCCAAAATAAAAAAAAAATCAACAAAAATTCGCAAAGAATAGATATCAATAAATAAATTAACTAAAAGAATTATCAAAATTATAAAAATTGAATAACAAACCTTAATTTCTTGAAGGAATTTGCATCCAAAAGTATGAGAAGAGAGAGAGTTGTAATGTATGAGAGGAGAGAGAAAGAGTTGTAAATTTGTAATGTATGAGAGGAGAGAGAGAGCTGTAATGTTCAAAGCCCAAAAAAAAAGGAAAGAAGAACCGTGAATGAGGAGAAAGAAAGGGAAAATAACAGCAAAAATTACTAAAATGCCATTACTAATCATTCATTTTCAGCGGTCAGATCAAACTAATTGTACGGTCCAGATTAGTTCTTATATATAATGAGTTCTTATATAGAGGAGGGTTCTTACATGAGCCTTCCTCTATACTTATATATATATATATATTTATATATATATATATATATATATATATATATATATACTTATATATATATATATATATATATATATATATACTTATATATATATATATATATATATATATATATATATATATATATTTAAAAGAAAAGTGTAACATATAATTTTATAATGTAAATTATACATTCTCAATTAGACAAGAAACATAAGCTCAAAAGTACATATAAGGGTAAAATATGAGATATAGAATAGGCATGAGTCATTATGATCTAATAGGTAATATATGTAAAGGACATAAGCTTTTTAATATCTCTAAATTAAATTTTAATTTTCTTTAACATTGAATTAAAATTATGATACGCAATACAATACACATTGTTGTGAATGAATAATCATATAATGTAAAAAAAATATCACTACTATGCATTAAGCTAACTTTGGTTTTGATTTTGTGATATTTTGATATTTAAACTTTTAAAATCGTGCAATTGCACGAGTACTATACTATTTATCTATTAAAATGTAAAATGTTATAAAAGAATATCATACATCAGAATCTCGCCGATAACTTTTTTCTTCGGTATTGACCAGACCATGTGACCCTCACATGACCATTAACAACCCCTTTCCCTCAATTTTCCCGCTCAATTCTCCAATACACCTCTTATAGCCCTAGCCATGTTTGGTAATTAGAGTTTTGACCAAAAATGAGCTTATTTGACCAAGTTAGAGGTTTTACTACATACTATCTTCTAATTTGGTTGTTTGGTAAAATAGCTTTTTAATTTTTAAATAAGCTTATTGAGACAAATAAGCTAATTTGTAAAAGCTAAAAAATAGAGCTTTTTAGATTACTTATTGAGTAATATAAATTCGACTTTAGGGCAGTGATCTAATGTCACGCCACGACATTTTCTAGATAAGTCACTTAATTATCTTAATTGCTATTAGTCATGTTTCCTACATTTTTTTTACTTGACTTAGGTAAGAATGTGAATTAGAGTAACTTTTACGATAATATTGTCATTTAACATCCATTCCGCACAGGTACACACGGACTCATAGCAATCGACCTTCAGGGTTACACGACTCTAACTCTTCGGTGTACTACGGAGAGTTAGATTGAAAACACCTTCGAACAATGCTCAATAGAAAACGAGGTCATGAAGAATAATTGTAAGAGAGGATCAATTCCCACTTTTTTCTGTGTCCGGAAAGGGACAAAAGGAGATGTTTATATAGTATATGAGTGTGAACTGGATACAACGAATCTGGTCACGAATGAGAGTGAATAAGGTACAACGAATTTGGCCACCAATTTAGACAAAAAAATGGTTAACATCTAAATCCCCCAATTAAGTCCAAAACGATTGACTAATTGAGCATATTTCAAGGAATCAACTTATTTTAAGAACCAATTTATACAATGCAATATTTGACGAATGGAAAATTAATTCTTTTGAAGCACAATTTATTTGGAGTTCTCTATCTAACTCCAACATTCCCCCACATGATTCAAAAGAAGAATGAAGATAAAGAAATTAAGCATTGGATATTTAGTTTTACAAGTATCAATGTCTTGTGGACTTGAATTGATACCCAGTACTTACAATTATATTCTACGGTCATGTCGGGTGGACTTTGCCTTGAACCTTTCATGAAGTTTGTAAAATACAGTTGCGTACTAAATTTTTCTCAAATCAAAGGTGTTCTCGCGAAATTAAAAATGCCCCACATTTGCCTGGATTTTTCGTGAATGCTCTAGAGGTCCTAGCCTTTGGAACCTCATAGGGGATTGGGCGTAACCCCCACATTCACATAGGTAAGTTCATTAAGTTTGTATTGCCACAAACCACCTTTATATATTAAGGCTATGAACTTATTAAGAGTTCTTCAACTCAACCTCATACACATAGCAGTAAGAAGTACCACATCTCTTTATTAATAGGAATGGTCGTGGTACTATACTTGAGCTCTTTTGTAACTTCGTTTGACCCATTGAACTTAGACATTTCTAAGATGGGTATCAATCACAATTCACTCCTCATAGGCTTAAACACATTCCTTGTGCTGACTCTAGCACCATTTTTCTACAAAGACCTTATTTGTTGAGGAATCTCTAATATTCCTCTCACATCACGTGATCACATTTTTATGATAAGTATTCATGCCTCTAGCATGTATACATTTTTATTATTTTTCCATGGTGTAACTTGTACTTCACAACACATGTATTTAATGGAGTTGGCTCCCCCCACAATTGATATCTACTAATAGATTTTGCAATAACGTTTTGAGTCAAATTAAACCTTCATAGTGAGCTCATCATTGTTGGTTACTTTATAAGCATTTTCAACCTGCAATTTTAATTCTTATTTCACAGTACCATACAATGATCATTAGAGAGCACTTTCATAGTCTCCACCCGCACTATGATTAATAACATAACAATATTCTCGTTTGAACCACTATGATTAATATCATAACAACATTATGTTAGAAGCATATGATTCACAATCATGGTCAAACTAACAGATTACGAGAATAATCATGTGATGACTTCTCACACCATAGCTTTGGTGCTCAATTATTATATAATAAACTTATTTACCTTGTATTATTTCTAACAAGGACACACTTAAAAAAAATTCCTCCACTTTCAATTTCATAACTAAGTTGTCATATTAGTTTGCAATATATGCCTTCATTTGAACCACTATCAAAACATTAGAGGATATTAATGCAAACAAGACAAATGAACGCACAAACTTAGTCATGATGAGAGATAACAAAGATAGTCAATCACCAAATCTTCAATGAAGTTATATCAATTTCTTTACTTTCAACTGACTCATGAAAGTCATCAACATTACATCTAATGGCTTTATTATGGTTAGACAAAACTAACTTTCACAAACTTCAATAGATCACAAATAAGGAATTATATTTAACTTGTTTCTCTCCAAAACTAGCACAAACACAAAGACATGGTTTCTCCATATGGTTATGGATATTTATCCATCACTTTTTGAAGACACCCCATGACTTCTTCTTATCCTCAAATCTTTCTAAGTAATTAAGAAGGACAATTAGACTTAACTAGTTTGGACTCTAAATTTGCTCCTTCCTAGCTGATCTACCAACTTCACTAAAGAAAAGGTTAAATAAAAACATGAAGCAAACTATGTATATATATGACTCTTAGATATAAATTTTAAATTATCATACCATTACAAAATTGAGAAAACATTCTCAAACTAGCGCATGTGATTCGCATACGGGAATTTAACACAATCCAAGTCATTCTCAATGTAATTGTACTATGTCAACCCATTTTAATAACATTAGCACAACCACAAATCAAATTAGCATAACTCATCCTAAATCACATATTTGGACCTTTAAATAGTATAAAGGTTTATGCTAGCTTGAAAAAATTTACATTACTTATGAATGAATTGAATAAAAGATTATTCACATAAATGGATAAATAAGCAATATTAAATTCATCATATTCAACAGTCACAATATCACAATGTCTCAAAAAAACAACTGCAATGCACACCAAGGAACATTTCACCTTAAATAGGTACCCCCACACAACAAGCATATGAGATTCTGACATAAATAATCCATTAAACAAGGGATACCTAGACAAACTCTCGTGAGATGGACCTTAATTTAGCCAACATAGTGAGCTAAAAAATATTGATACCCCCACATAGGTTATACTTCCTCCGTTTCTATTTAGTTGACGCGTTTGATTTAGGCACATATATTAAGGAGAGGAGAGAGAGTGAGAGAAAATGAAAAGGCAAGTGGGGTAGCTTGTAAATGTAAGGTAAAAAAGTTACCCCAAAAGGAAACGTGTCAACTAAAAAAAAACTTTCTAAAAAGAAATACGTGTCAACTAAAAAGAAACGGAGGTAGTATTAACCAAAGTTAAAACACATGCTATTTATAAGACCTTTTAAAAATTGGGTAATTCCTTCTAATTATTCCAATATGTAGAGCTCTCCAAATTTTGTTGACCGTATTTATTTGTTCAAACTTTAGTTAACACTCTTACTTCTACTATATAAACAAGGAGACAATTGGTCTCACCTAGACCATGAAGGAAAGATATGCCTCAAGCAAACATCAACATATAG